ATTTGTTTTTATTTAAAATTTATTGTTAAAATTTTGGATTTTGATTATGAGCAAGTAAAGCCTTACATGTTAGTAAGCATGTGGCGTTGTCTTATGCCTAACCTTGAATTGTGTGATATTTTTAACATGCTTTGGTGTTAAAGGAGAAACGGTACTGATGAAACAAGGTCATCGATTTTTACCCAACCCATTTACCTATACAATCCACCCATTTGAAAACCCATTCATTTTAGTGGTGGGTTAAATAGTTAATATGGGTTGAGTGAGCCATTAGAGTCGGGGGGGAAAAGGTCCAAAATGGTCATGTGGGTTAGGTTAAGGCCACGAGGGTACCCATTACGACTAGGGTTGGTTGAGTCAAGGCAAGGTTTAAAATTTCAACACAAGGTTTAAAAAAAGGTCCAAATCTTTTTTTTTTTGTAGATCTAACACTCTAGGAATGAAGTTTGGAGTTTTAGAATTGTGTAGGGGTGAAAGAAGCCTTGTTTCATTCTTTTTTTATTCTTTATCAGTATCTTTTTTGCAGTGTGCCCATCAATATGCCATTGACATGCCACCAATACGCTCGATACACCACAGATACGAGATATAGTAGGAAATAGGTGGAATTGTCTTTTTTCCACCGTATCGACCCGTATCTGTGGTGTATCGAGCGTATTGGTGGCATGTCAATGGCATATTGATGGGCACGCTGCAAAAAAGATACTGATAAAGAATGAAAAAAGAATGAAACAAGGCTTCTTTCACCCCTACACAATTCTAAAACTCCAAACTTCATTCCTAGAGTGTTAGATCTACAAAAAAAAAAAAAAAAGATTTGAAAATTTTATAAAGAAATTTAAGAAAAATATAAAATAACAAAAATTTAAAATATATTTTCTTATCTGCCTATAAAGACTTAACATGTTTTATATCAATGCATGATCTATCAAATCCTTAAGAATAATTGAAATTTCTTCTGTAATAATTTTTTTTTAAATTAAAAAATAATTAATAATTAATTATATTTTATGATCTAATCATAAGGATTGGATATATTGTAGATTTATGGATGACATTTCAATCTATCATATCTGTAGAGAAATTGAAATTTCTTCTTCAATAATTATTTGTTTTGAATATAATGTACAATATTTATTTTTTATTTTTTTGTAATTTTTGAAATTAAAAATAGATTTTTTTCAAGAGCCAGATAAAAGCATATTTCATTTAACCAAGAAACTTGTACATATAAAGAGAATTGGCAATAATGCCAAGCAAAAGAGCCTAGATACAACTTCTTAGAAAGAACAAAATACACAATAATAGTGGATAAATGAGAAGATAAAGAAGTTATGCAACTAATAAATGTTGAAGTAAGAATTACCAACAAAAAGACCAATCTATCACATCTCCGTCCTCTAAAACTAAGAAACATATGGCAGTAGATACTTATAAAGGGAATCTCAAAGTGGTAGTAATAGGACAATTTGAGAAAAGCCACAAAAGATGGCAAATCCTCAAAGAAGCTGCAAATATTGTAGCAAATTTGTAGCAACTACCACCAATAGTTGCACCTTTAGGTGAAACTATAGTCGAAACCAACCATGGCCAATGTGAACAAAAGCAATGATCGCTACCACCACCCAACATAGAACCAATGGGGAGGTAACCCCCTATACCCAAATCCAGGTATCTTGTCAAAACCAAAGGAACATTCACTATCATGCTACAAAGGCGAGTGTGTTCACTCAATAGCATTGATTTGTGTCGTCGGTCCCTCGATGGAAACAATCCACTCCACATAGGGCACTAGATTATCAATAAAATCCCATAACAACCATTGGAGATATCTGTCAACACCCAATTTTTGCTCAATCCCCTCTCTAACCCAATTCTCACGCTATCTAATGCCCGATCAAACCTCACTCATCTTTTTAGATCATGTGAAAACCTTATAGGGAACCAAATCTCAGCTCAAATACTCTTAAATTCACAATTAAATCTACAAGATTCCTTTTTGATAGTTATGATTATGCCACATCACCACACCTACTACATGATCAGATTCCACCACATGAAGCAAAACCTTTAAACAACCAATCACACTAAACTTCAGCCTTAAATTCCTTAATCTTGTTGCTCATCTGTCAAAGATTCCATTTTGACATATTTGACACTATGACACTTCCCAGGCCTAAAGCACATGGTCCCTATGAACTTGACATGGTCAAACCATCCAAACAGCCTCTTAATTCAATTCAATGACCCTTCATCCAATTTCAGCCCAAGACTCCCTCGTTTACCCATCCATTAAGCCAAGATTTTATTCTAAGCCCCCTCATCGGCCAAAATACATGTAACCCACATTCCCATGATTCTACCACCTCTAAAGTCATCAACCACCGTCATTAGACTCTAAATATCCTAAGATGCCCATCTATCAAATTTCAGACCCAAAATGACCATTTTACCCATCGTTTAAAAAGATTCTAAATAGTTCACCTTCATCGCCTGATATTCTCCAAATTCGAGAATTTCATCGTAACACATCGACCGATACCTCCAAACTCCATCAAAACCTCCATTAACCTCTTGTTTGATGATCCATCAATTTTTAGACCTTAAAATGACCATTTTACCCATCATTTAAAAAGATCCTAAATAAACAACTTTCATCGCTTGATATTCTCCAAATTCAAGATTTCTGTCATAACACATCGACGAATGCATACTTCCAAACCATTAAAACCTCCACCAACCTCTTGATCAAAGATCTTTCGAATTTTAGACCTTAAAATGACTAGTTTACCCATCGTTTTCAAAAATTCCAAATAAACTTACCTTGTCACCTAATACTCTCCAAAATCAAGATATCCGTCGTCACACATCATCCAACACCTCAAACCTTATAAAAACCTCCATCAACCTCTTGATCGGCAATCCATAAAATTTCAGACCATAAAATGACCATTTTACCCATCATTTAAAAATATTCTAAATAAACCATCTTTGTCACCTAATATTGTCCAAAATTAAGATATCCATTGCTATGCGTCATCTGACACCTCCAAACCCCATCAAAACCTCCATCAACCTCCTGATCATCCACCCACCAAATTTCAGACCAAAAAATGACCATTTTACCCTTTGTTTGAAAAGATTCTGAACATATCATCATCGCCACATGATACTCTCTAATTTCAAGATCATTGTCATAATACATCATACGACACCTCTAAATCCCATCAAAACCTCCTAATTGACAATCTATCAAATTTCAACCCATAAAATGACCATTTTACCATTTGCTTGAAAAGATTCTAAAGGAATCATCCTTGTCACCTAATACTTTCCAAATTTAAGATCATCATTGTAACACATCATTCGACGCCTCCAAACCCCATCAAAACCATTTTCAACCTCTTGATCGATGGCCCATCAAAATTTAGATCATAAAATAACCATTTTACCCCTCATTAAAAATGATTCCAAATAGACCATCCTTATTGGTCGTTGTTCTCCAAATTCAAGATTTGCATCGTAATAGGACATCTAAGGCATCCAAACCTTACCAAAGCCTCCGTAAAACCCCAACTAACCACCCATTAAATTCCAAATCCAAAAATAGTCATTTTGCCCCTCCATAAAAAATGTTCCATTTCGATGACTCTCATTACCTAATATCCTTTCATTCACAAAATTCCATACCAAGACATGCTTTGAGACTATCAAATCTCAATAACACCTTATGCGGATTCCATACAACCCTCACTTTAAATTTTACCATAAGAATTTCCCATTTTGCCCTTCCATCAAGGGAGATTCCAATTCTTATGATCTTAGTGACCGAAATACTTGATGTTCACATTCTCCATGGTCCCAACACCTTTAACACCTCTAACCCACTCCAAATGACCCACTCCCACCTAAACTTCCTTACATAAAAATTTCATACAAAAATACCCTTCCTACCCATGCCAGGTTGTCACGGGGGTAATCGTTGGGGCCCCGTGCGGCACTCGAAATGGGCGAGTAAGCCTACAAAACAAAGCAAACACACATACAAAGGCAACAAGATGGCACACGAATTAGCAAAAGGCTATTTGTATTGCATTAATCAATGGTAAGCACAAGCACACAGTACAGTGTCGAGGGGATCTCGTGCTTAACCTTTACATGCTTATGAGCTCACTCGACTACCTACCTCCCCTCAAAGAGTACGTTAAGCTTTTGGGGGAGTGACAATAGGAAACATCAAAATGATGGAAAAGCATACTAAGTAATTACAATAACGCCATTGGCGATCCCCCTTACAAAATACAAGCAAAGCCCACCCATGACACACATGTTAACACCATGAAGGCACGCGAATGGCTCACTGTAGGTGCTTGATGGCGCAATGAAGGAGTCACCTGTGACAAGGTGTCAAGATTCCATTTCCTCGAATCTTATTCATTCTCTTTAAGGGCCTAGAACACATTTTAGTTATGTTGGCTTAATTCCCAACCTTTAGATTTTCTTGGAAATGGCTCAATAAATCTGGAATGCTCATCCTTCTTAGCCACTTTCATATTCCAAAAAAATTATTATTTTTTAGTCCCTTCCCACCAAATCCCTTATGTTTTGGTTTTGGCAAGAAGATCCTTGACACTCGTCATTTCCTTAGCCAGTGGATTTCCTTGAGAGCCTCAAACTCAACCTAGGACGTCCAAAAGGTTTTCGTCTTTTTATTTTTATGAACATTACATCCTAGGTCCTCACCCTTAACCCTTAACTTTTAAACAATTGCAAAAGCCGCCCCCCAACACTTGGCACCTCCCTAGCCCTAGGATTTCCCAAACCTTTATCCCATCAATTTTTGGTCCTAGGATAAACCTCTCACTCTTTAGAAACCCTAGACCCCCTATCATTTTTTAGAAGTTTCAAAACACTCCCCATCCCCATATATAAAAATGCAAGGCTTCTTTCCTTCAAGGTACTTACACAATAATGGAAACCCAACCCCTTTACTCAAAGAAAGACAAAATTTCAAACCTAGACAAAATTTCAAACCCCTCTCTCCTCTCCACTAAAACTTTGAACCAAACCATTTTTTTGCTATCCCCTGTGTCCTAGAAAGGCTAAAACGAAAATCTCTTCCTTTTGCTTTCTCTCTCCCCTTCCTCTTTGCATTTCAAGTCTCTCAACTAAAATCTCTTCCCCCCTTCTCCCCCACTCCATCCTTTCTTCTTAAAGTTTTTACAATAGAGGAAATAAGAAAGAAAAGGAGAGAAGCCTCCATTATTCTCAGTTTGGTGGTAGCAAGAAGGGAAAAGCTAGAAGAAGAAGACGGAAGGAGAATCCAATTCGGTTCAACACAAAGATTGGAGCACCAACTCTTCGATATATCATTACATTTCGAGTTCTCTTTGATGTCAAAGGTGTGAGAAGCTTCTCCACCATTCTCAATCCGTTCATCCTTGAAAAACACTCCCATATCCCGCCGCCCCAATAGCTTGGAAGAAAGCTACAAAGAGGTATGTTTAAAACTTCTTCAATGTAGCCTAGTATTTTCACTATTTCTCATGTCTTTCCGTTTTTTATGTGTTTATGGAGTAAATGTAGCCTAGTATTTTCACCATCCTTTTTTTAGAATATATGAGGATAGGTTTGTAAGAATTCAATCTTGGTAGATTCATTAGTTTCTCTTTATCTCTATTCTCTTTTTTGCTAATTGATCTATTATAGGGAGTAAGGGCAGCCTTGGGTTGTATTCTTGATGGCCAAATTGCTTCATATCTACCTTGCTTCTTAGTACTTTTTTATTGTCTTTATTTCCATAAAATGAATATGGTATTCTTTTCCTTGTGTTAGAATTAATTTGTTTCTTTCAATAAATTTGTGTTTCTTAAGCTAGTGAAATGGAGGAATTAAGGATTAATTCTCAAGAAACATCTACTAGTAGGAAACCTATGAGAGGATAAAAAAGAATTAGGAGGAGATCTCTCAATTACTATGCTTCTCTCTAGGGGTTCCAAAAGAGATGTTACTTGTAGAAGTTCCCTTTGAATAAAAAAGAGGGGGGTGGAGATCCCTACCTCACTTTACTTCAAAGGGAGATTTTGAAAGGTCCATGGGAATCAATCTTCAATTTTTGCAATTCAATCATGAATATTGTCTTTTCTATGAAATTATGAGGTTTTCTCCAAGAATTAGTTGGAATGGCATTCTACACAAGTCAAGGGAGAGGGGTATCTAATACCTTCCCTCACCCTCCCATTAGATGCCTAGAATAGCTATTTTGGGTATGGGAGTCTATTTTTTTTAGCATTTTGAACAAGGGATGCCCATCACTCCCATGTCCTTCCTATAGATGGGTGGCGGCTCCATTAAAATTTAGCCATGATGAGAACCCCAAATTAATTGGGTGCTCACAATATCCAAAGATAATGAAATCGTATGAAGTAGGAAGAAAATGTAATTAAGGCCAAATCCAATAAAATTGTCCAAGAATGAATTTTTAATAACAATACATGAATTGTCACCATGATCAACCAAAAAATTGATGATTTTCTTGGGTGCAAGTCCAACAACCATAAGGCACTGGATTTTCTATGACTAACTGATGATGCGTGATTCGGTAACTCCCCTACTGGCTGATGACTCAGAAGCTTATTTGGATGGTTCCCTTGTTTGGGTCGAGCTGTGTTGGGCCAAGCTGGAGATGTCCAAGCTATATAATGGAGAGTTGTGTAATTTCCTGATAGACCTGTAGGCAAACAATATTAGCTGAGTTGTGTTAGGCCGAGCTATATAACGGAGAGTTGTATAATTTTCTAAGAGACTTGCAGGGAAACCGTATTTGTCGAGTTGTGTTGGGTCAAGATGGAAATGACAGAGCTATATAACGGAGAGCTATGTAATTTTTTGAGAGACCTACAGGGAAACAATATTAGTCAAGCTGGATATGGGATGGCCAAGCTATATAATAGAGAGTTGTGTAATTTTCTGAGAGACCTGTAGGGAAACAATATTAGCCAAGGTGTGCTGGGCCGAGCTGTTTTGTTCTACAAGAGAGACAGAGTTAGAGTGCCTAGGTGTCTTTACCCGGGGAGAGCACTCTGATGCTTAATTCAGAGAGTGTTTTGAAAGTATTTTAGAAAGTGAGAGATCTTGAGAGCTTGTAATCACGCATACCTTCTCTCAGGAAAATGGTGCCTTTATATAGGCATGAGGGATTAGAGACCTCCTGTAATGGGTCCCATCTTCTCACGGAGCCGCTTTCGCATAGTTAGCTAAGTTATTATGTTGGTTACGTGACCTGCGGTGGGCATTACGGCTCGCCCGAATAACTCTGGCGCGGGTAGGTCGGCCTAATGGTCGAGCGCTATTACTCTGGAGAACTTGGTCTTGATAACAAATCTGTGTAATAGGTCAGCGAGCACGCCTTGTAGGTTGTCACTTATACCCTACTTAGCTCAGCCGATCTCCAAAGGATGTTGCTCCTTAAGCGGAGATCCTTTAGGTCGGCCATAGGTTAGGTGCTACTAGCTGACCTGCTGGGGTGATCTGCTTACTCAATGTCGAGGTGTTACTTGGATGCCATGTGTCTCTGGAGGTAGGTCTCTGAAGGTAGGTCGCCAGGTCAATGAAGGTAGGTCTCCAATAGGTTGCCAAGTCTCTAGTAGGTCTCTAGAGGTAGGTCTTTGGAGGTAGGTCTCCAAGTCTCCAGTAGGTCTCTAAAGGTAGGTCTCTAAGTAGAACTGTTCTTGGGTCGGGTGGCCCGATGGGCTGGCCCGGCCCCCGGACGGGCTTGAACATGTTTATAGGCCTGCGGGCTTGAACTCGGGCCAAAAATCCCGACTCGCAATAAATTCGAGTCGGGCTTGGGTTTTGTCAAAATAACCCGGCCCTAGCCCGGCCCAACCCAACCTAAAATTAGACTTAAAATGGGTTATGTGATTATGTCCATTTGAATAAATTTTTTGATTTAAGAATGTAAAATTGTGTTTTAAAACGTAAAAGAAAGGGGAAAAAACCATCTTGTAGGCCCATTGTTCATTTAAATAGGAAAAAAAACCATATGAATTTTTAATTTTAATTTGAATAGGGAAAATTGTAATTTTTTTATTAGGTCGGGCTTCGGGCTTTTTATCAGGGTCGGGCTTGGGCCCAAGTTATAGGCTCATTGGTCGGGCCGGGCTCGGGCTCGGGCCTAGCGTATTTCCTTTAATGATGAGTAAAAGCCCGACCCAAGCCCAGTCCGGTCCGGCCCATGAACAAGTCTATCTCCAGGTCTCTAGTAGGTCTCTGGAAGGTCTCTAGTAGGTCTCTAGAGGTGGGTCTCCATCATTTTGTCCAAGGAAAGTCATCGCCTATGTTGTGCTGGGGTGTCATCCAACTATTTTGAGATGTCACGTGTCATGATGTCAGTGGAGGGCCAAATTTGCTCTCATCACTAACCAACATCAATGGTGATTAGCTTGTAAAAAGAAAACACAACCTCCTTTGCAAATGTGATAATCTAAACTTTGTTAAGGATGTAACAAAGCACACCAAGCATTACAACCAAGCAATAAAGCCTATCACATCTATAGTTCTTGCATGATTGAGAACAATGTGAATGTAAATAAGGAAAATGATCATTGTACTCCGACACCCTCAAACATACAAAAACACTGACCCAACTTAATAGAAAAAAGAGTGAGAGAAAGTGGAAAGCGAGGGTTGTGGGAGTAACATGAAGGGGTGGGTTGGGGGATAGGGTGAGGAGTCTCCTGATGGCAAAGAAAAGGAGTCGTTGGAAGATGAAAATATGAGAAAACATTGAGAAGGAAACCAAGATGATAGCTTCCCAGAGAGAACCACAGAGCATGAAGACTTGTGAAAACCTCAAGAGGGAAACAGAGAAGACAACCTATTGGAGAGAATCACCTTCAATTAGGAAAGAAATAATTATTAGCTATGTTTTCACTTATAAGTTGTGTCAATGCATGTTTTATAGTTGGATAGGATAGTTGGGCCTTTCCCATCCCTTAAAGCTTAAGGATTATAATTTATAAACTATAATTAAATATAGGGTTTTCTAATAAAAATTATAATGGACTACGATGTATTTCTTCATAAATTTTATTAAAATATATTAATTTAATCTATGTATACTTTACTGAGGCATTGATTGACAAAATTAGATATGTTTTGAAACATATTGCAAAAATAGATAGTGGGACAAAAGGTGAAGTTTGTTTTACCAAATCCCCTCCTTAAAAGGGCTCATCTTTCAATATGCAATCTTTGCTTCTCTTGTCTATCAACTCCCTTTGTAGATTGCATATTACATCTCTCAAATAGATATCTCCCCCCCAAAATGAGCTCGCTTTTGTACAGAGCTCCTCTCCCAATTTTGCAATTTCAAAGGTGTTGTTTTTCATCTACATCTTCATCATCAGTTTTTTTTTTTTGCTTTTATTTGATGAATTTCTTAGTTTCCTAATCTCCTCTCCTGATTTTGCAGCTTAAGAGGTATTCTTTTTCATCTTTTTTTTTGCTTTTCTTTAATGAATTTCTTGGTTTCCTACACTACCACTCCGCTTTAACTTATTTTGTTTATTTTATTAATTTATTTTAAAATTTTCATTATTTTTTTTCAATTTTTTTTTTAAAACATGGCTTGGCTTCATCAACGACTTCGGCCTGTCCCATTTCTTAGCCCACGGCACAACATGAGCCCACATGAGCTTGAGCCGTACAAAGCCAACCCCCAAGTATCCCAAGGAGTGCGGGCCGTGCCGATTTATAATATGGGGATATTTGTAATTTACCCTGTATCCGTATCCATAATTTCTGGTAATCTCTTAAAATTGTGTTAATTTCTGATAAAATTGCTTTTTCGATATATTAGCATTTCCGATAATTTGAACATTGGGTTCATCGGTGAAGCCGTGAAGGTATGTTTTAGGGTTGAAAGTCATAACTTCGAACTTCGAAGGTTTCTCCGCCATTCTCAGACTCTTCGTCATAGTGAGGTTAGACATAGGGTTCGAAGGTTTTTCTCCAACCTTTCACCTTCGCCATTCTCAGTGAGGTTACACGTTTGGTGTTGCTTTGTTTGAAGGTTTCGCATCAAACGTCCGTCGCCTCAGACATTGCTCCGCCTCTCCGTCGCCTCAGACGATTTGTTCATTCACCCTTTGGATCGACAGAAGAGGTAATCTAGGGTTCTTACTTCTGTCTGGTTCAAATTCCTTAATCTGTTCTTTATTAAAATTAATAACCTTTAACATTATACTGTAGATTGTTTCTACTGGTGATTCCTTATATTTTTTCTTTAAGCTCTTCTCTGTAAATATGATGGCAAAGAGATGTATCATCGTCCAGATGAAAGAAAGGTAATTGTTCTCTGCGTAATTATTGTAACTTATTGATTCCTTGCAAAATCTTTAGTGTTAGTCCTATGGAACCATTAATTGGTTTTACCAATTGTGATGCACTAGGGCCCTCTAGCACTGGAATTACTGATTACTTTGCTTAATTTTCT